GAGAAGGCCATATATTTTTCCAAAAGGCCACCTATGGCTTCAGTAGAGCCCTAAAACTACACAGCCTTACTTGCGCTTTCTTTAAGACACAACTTCTTCTAAGTCAGACATAGGCCCAGCTTTCTTCAGCTTGCTTCCGGCGCTCAGCCTCTCGCCACCGTCCATAGGGCACCTGGTTTTTGTTCGCGCCGTTGGTGCCCACTACTTCAAGGGGTTGCTTTGCCTTTGTGAGGCCTGGGTTTGCCCACTCTTTATGGCGCCTCAGCCCCGTTTTTTGGATACCCTGTCGCCAAGTGGGTTTTGACAGCTCTTGGCCTATCTTTGGGCCACTGAAGCCACGCAAACCGCCGGAAGATGTTCACCGAGGACTTTGGAAGCTGCCGAAGTTTCAGCCCAGGAGGGGCATTGGGCCCGCACAAAGGCGACATGTGGGGCCTAGGGCTTTTGATGAGCCTCGGCGAAACCCAAGTGTAGGCGATGTTGGCCGTATTTGAGGTGGTAATTGGTATTTGTCTTCTTAAAATGCTGTAGCGGGACTCATCGCCTCATGTTGGGCGATGCGAAAGCAACACTTGAAAGCAATACCTTTTGGGATGGTGACAAGTGCCCCCGACCTTCCATGCATGGCTTCTCATGAGTTTGGATGCGTCGGAACTAGAAGCCTTCATTGGAATGTCTCGACACCAAACCCCTCGCCAACGCTTTGGGAGAGTTGTTGCGGGGGTGGGGAGGTTGAGTTAGTGCCCACTTTGGCTTACTTGTTTTTTTCATATATGACCCTTGTTGTTTCTTTACAACCCGGTTTGATCCCCGCCAAGGGTCTGAAGCCTTGGCAGCCTGACCAACTCAAATGCTCCCTAGGTCAGGAAATCCTTAGTTGGTGGTTGGGATTGGTTTGGGCATTTCAGCCCCTGGTTCTTGTAGACCAAACCACCAACTAGCGGGAAGCTGATTAGTGGCAAGCTGACTGGCGGCATCAATACGTGAGGTCTGTCGGGGTCAAAGGCCCTCAGTCTTCGGCTCTTAGGAGTAGCTTTCAAAATGCTTGGCTTGCTCTTTTTTTCTTTTTTTTTGAACCCGCCAGTGAGAGGGACATTTTTTCAGATGTTGGAACTTCCGTTCTCAATCCAAGGAGAGGCATGCTTTGCGACATCAACCGTGTGCTGGGCAATTCCACCACGGCTGCTAGCGAGAGCGCACCGCCGCGCATGCCTTTGGTTCCAAGCTGCCTGACGATACCAGGGCACTGGATGCAGCATGTGTAGGTAACCCGTTCCTGCTTACCAAATGCAATGTGCTACCAAAAAAAAAACGTTTGCGGAAACATTCTTTAAAAACAATGGGGCCTTTGATGCTCTGTTCAAATTGCGGGTGTTTGTATTGAAAGGGGGATGCAACCCTTGGTTTTTGTGCTTTTGTATTTGATCTAGGTGGCACACGTGCACAGAGACAGACATACAGACATGCAGGCCCACATGCGGACACAACAGACACACATACATGTACGTATACTCGATATTCAGATATGTAGAATGACATAATAGTCTCACATACATACATTGTACATACATACATGCGCAAAGCTTGCACCTGACCCTTTTGCTCACTGATGTCGCCGCCATGCCTTTCTCTGGGCTTCTTTTGGTCGTTTCTATCCAATCGCCCCTTCGACCTTCCGTGGCTTTTCCACAGGGGCCCCTAAAGGAAGATGGTCTTCCCGGAAGCCGAGGTTCCAGGCTGGGAGGGGAACAAACTGCTTGGAAGGGAGCCGGAGCGAGCCGGAGGGCCGGGAGGATCCGCTCGGAGTTCGGGTTAGGCACATGGTAAGCCGATCGCAAAAGGTTGTTGCGCTTGCCGCTCAGCGGGGAAGGAGAAATGGAGTGACCCCCAAGCAAAACACTCCCTTGTGGTTTCATTCCCTTGTTCGGGGATGCCCGTTCTGGTTCATTGATTAAGTCGGGGTTCACCTGAGCCACTTCCTCAAACCTGGGTAGATTAACAAAGGATAGTCCCAACCATAACTGGGTGCAGCAGACCTTTCAATTCTTTAGCGATCGGTTTCCATAGGCGTCATGGGGCCACTTTTTCAGCTTATGCGGGGAGCAACGAGCCACGAGCAACAAGAACACGAGCCTTTCGCGAGCCGAGCAGGTGAGCCATTCCTTGGTTCGTTAGGTAGGGAATGAGAAATGGAATGAACCGGTTTTGGTTGGATTCCCTTAAAATGAAACCATCTGGGATGGTGTTTTAGTTGGATTCCCGAATACAGGAAGCAACACCAGTTGGATGGTGTAGTTCGGGGTCAGACTCCGTTTCTCTTTCCCCGCCGATTTCGCGCCCATGGATCACGTTTCGTGGCATCCAAGGCGCCTGGCTGGGGAAGTCTCCAGAGGCTCGCTGCCTCTGCGGCCGGCTCCTGCGCAGAGACCCCGTGGCGCGGTGGTCGGCCCAGGAGGCCATGCACCACCCCTGGCGCCTCGGGTGCATTGAAACGCTTTTTGTTATTCTCGAGTTTGTTTGGTTTTGGAGTTGTTTTTGGTTTTTGGTTGGAACCATACATTTGGTTGGATCCCAACCTTTTTGGGAAACACGGGGTGTTTGTTTGATCGGTTACTCCGTGGCAAATTTGGTTGGATCTTTGGACTTTAACTTGTTGAAGCAGCTGAAATGTCCATTGGAGCCACCAAAAGTTAAATACTTGTTTGCAGGCGTCAACAGCAACCAGCGCAAAAGTCAAAATTTGGCGACCCCGGATCCAAGTAGAAGCCAGCCCATCAGAAGTTCTTTCTTCCAAAAGTGATGAATCTCTCACGGGGACACGCCCCAATCCGAATGAAGCCAATCCTCCCCATGTTGTCATTTGGAAGACGCTGCAAAAGGGGTGTCGTGTTGGTTTGTGTTGGGTTCCAGTTGCGGTTCGCGTGTCGCGAGAGCATGTGTCGTGTAGTCGTTTTGTATTGTGCTGTGTCGAGTCATGTTCACGCTGCGTCATGGTGTCGCGTGCAATGTTTGCTTTGAGGTGACAAGTGGGTGTTTATGCTGATACATGAAGCGGTTAAACTGCGGTTCAAGAGTTTAGGGACAAGGAATCACAGGACCAGTTGGTGGGTGAGGCGTTCGAAGTCTCGACTGAGCGCTTTGCAGAAGCAAATCCCCTGGTCCGTTCTGTGAAGGACTGTGCAGGTGTGCTGCTTGTGACTTTGCATGGTCGTTCTGAGGCCCCACGGACCGCAAGTGATTCGCATTTCCCGGAAGCTTGGGGAGCGTGTTTCTTTTGTTAGACCAGCGGAGATGTCTCGAGGCGATTGGCCGCATCCATGTGTGCTATAATACGACAACCCTGGGCTTGCAAGTCATGTTGACATGTTCAGTCAACGCCCGGCAGCCGACTTCTGCAAATCCCCTTTCAATGTCATTGGTGACCCGAGGTTCTTTGCCATGGAGTTGCCGCCAGTGGAGGTTCCTGATGATTTGCTACAACGCTTTAGGCCGTAGGGAGCCGCTGGTTGATCGTTTGATCAGATACTCCAGGCTATTTGGTTGGATCTTTGGACTTGAAACTTGGTTGAAACAGCTTGAATCCTCCATTCAACCCACAAAAAGTCAACTTCTTGCAGAGGGGTCGTTCCAGCAACCAAGGTTAGTTTGGTGGGAGAAATAGATGAGTTCCACCGGTTTCAGACAACCAACGTCACAGCAACCAAGCCGATTGTTTGGGCAATTCGCCCCACTCGGTTCCCGAGCAGGATGTACTCGGGAAAATCAATAGGGAGTCCCAGGCTGATGTTTCCCAGGGAGTAGCATGGGGTGAATTTGCGTCTTCCAGGACGAAGACGTATGCCCCCCAAGAGGGCGGATCTGTGGCAGTCACCGCTCGAGCGCGTACAGAGCACAAGACAATATGGCTCTGTTTTTGTTTGGGGGCGGGGGGACCTTCCAAAATGTGTTTTCCTTTGGTTCCCATTTCAGCAAGCCAACAAAAAGGTGCCCTCAAAGACATATGTTTGGTGGAGCCATGATGGCTGAGCCATGTCAATGACATGTCAATGATTATGTCTCAAAAGCGAACCAAGTACATCCATCACACACACACACACATGGTATCTACCCTACTTTCTCTAAAGACCCTTCTGGCAAACCCCCTTTGGCTCTCCCATTTTGACGGCCAAACAGTTGCACGCTTCAAGCCATGGTGGTGGAAAGTAGGGTTCTACGGCCAGCTTCCGTGATAGCAGCGAAAGCCCCTGTATGAAGACGGCCCACTTTGATACCGCCGCAAGGGTCATTTCTCACCATGCCCACTACAGTCAGTGAGTAAGGAGCAGTCAATTTATACGATTTGAGCCATAAAGTTACTGCCGAAGAGCATAAGTCGCTGTGTGGGAGAGGACGGCTCCAACAGCATTGTACCCGGCAGCAACTTCAGCCACTGATTTGGGAAATGCGAAAAGCCTTGACCTCCAAGAAAGTAGGTCTAGGTCACTAAGTGAACCACTCTCCAAGGAAAATTGCCAGTTACTACCAGTGGCTCGCCTGGTTACCCGTTTTACGAAGTGGACCGATTTGGAGAACCACCCAAAAGACAATGGCACTATGGGCCTCAAAATAGGGGGCCTTCTCTTTGACCCTACAAACCGCAACAAATATGCAGGAAGAGCGAGTGGGTCAAAACGACAGCCAGATGGAGCTCCTTCGTGTGGATTTTTGAGGGAACCCGTTTTCTTGGTTGGCTTGGCGTTTACCAAGCGATGGGGGGGGACCTCCCAAGAGATTGGGGGGTCCAGTTCCCTAGGGTCGAGATATATCCAGGAAGCGGTGCAGATGGTGTCCGGTGCCGTCCCGTTTGTTGGAGCCAAAAGGAACACCGAGCCAACTAGGGACACCAACTAGCAGGGATACAGGAACCAGGGAGACGGGAGGATTCCCCCGTTTGATGCACCTTGACCAAGTTGGAAAGGGGAAATGGCGCCAAGGGAATGCCCCCATATCCCCGCTCCCTCCGTATCCCCGCTTGTCCGTTTGTCCAATTGGGTGGGTCCAGGCCAGGTTCAACATACCCCAAAGTTAGTGATTATACGTGGCCTATACAGGGTACATACCCCAAAATGCATCCCTATATACATATACACACATATAAGGGAATGTCCGCTTGTGGTCTGTAATAGTACTTTCATTTGCTGAAGAATATGTTTGTATTTCCTCCTGTTGTTCTCACAGGGAATCTATCACTACTTGACATAGTGTCTCATTTTTTCAGGGGGCTTGAAAAAAAACAAATGGAGGAGCCCGGGGTTTGTCCCTGGTGACAATTGAAAAACCAACCTACCGGGTCCAAAACCAGGGAAGCATTTTACACTTTTGCTTATTGTGGTTTAGTGGGAAATCCCCACTGCTAACAAATATATTTTTTGGCTCCCCTTCCAACGTCAACCAAGCTGGTGTCCCTGTTTGTCCATGTTGTCAGTGGGGAAGACGGCGCCCGCCCCGCCCGCCCGCGCGCAGGTCCTTCGGCGCCTGCAACTCGCTGGTCCGCGTCTCGCTGCAGGCGCTCGCGGAGCAGCGGCCGGGGCGCGAGGATTTGCCCCTTCGGCGCAAGGCGACCTTTTGATTTTCCTGGTGACCTTGGGTCGACTCGACAGCCAGCTTCCCTTAGTTCCTTTTGGTACCTTTTTTTCCTTGTAGGACTTCTTGTTTAACCTTGACACTGGAGTTCTTCAAAATTGTGTCCTTTTGGTTCCGTTTCGGATTTTAGTCCCTTTTTGGGTTTGGACCATTTAGGTCCCCCAGCTGGGTGCCCTTTCTCACCCCTTTTTTGGTTGGGAGGGTTCACCTACTGAAGTAGACAACAGAGAAAAGTTGGTACCCTTATTCTAACCTCTCTACTGGAGGACCTAGTTAAATGTTGGCCTTTTGGTCGACTCGCCGACAACCAGTTTTGGAACCAAGGGAAGCTGAATTCAATGGTTTAGTCCTTTTTTGTCAAACACGTTAGTTTCCCTTTGGGTTCCCTTCTGCTTTTGGAGAAGAAATGCGGTTTGTTTTCGTTACCTACAAAACCAGGGACATTGGGAATCGATAGGGGATGTGGGAATGAACCTAGGGCTCCCTTAAAGGAAGACACAAGGGATGGTTTATAAGGGCCATTCCCTCATTTCCTGCTGAACACCTGCAAGCCTTTTACCTTTCAGTTTCCCTTTGGTTTCGCTTTGCTTATGCCAATTCACAGGGGGTCCGTCCATAGGGACCCAGCAGTTGGTCAAACCCGACCTTCTCCCCGGATCCGGGCAACTGAGGTTCAGCGCGTTAGACCGGCACCTTGGTCTCGAAGCGCTCGCGAAATTGGGCGCGTCTGGGGCGCGCCGTGAAAGAGGTTCCCCCCTGTTGGATGGTTTTAACCGGGTTTCCGAGCCAGGTCCAAGTTTTTGGAATCTCCAAAAGAGGCGATAGATGCCATGGAAACCATCAGTACACTGACAAACTTTTGATCTAAGGAAATCCAGGCACGCCCTGTTTACGGGGAAATTAAAGGGACACCAACCGCCAAGGTCCAAATTCTTGGGCGTTTCCGGCGTGATGAGATTTCCTCCCCTTTCTGGAAGGTGCTCAGGGGAAAGAGGAACAACCAGGGTGGTTTGAGAAACGCCTCAGCCCATAGGCCGCAGCTTGGGCAGAGATTGTTTTTTGACAGCCGCATAGTTTAACAGGGCTCCTTAACAGAAATTCATTTTGCAACCATTTGAAACATGTTGCTTTTTCAACACCAAAATAGAGTTGGAAGCCATCATTTACAAGTTGCAATGTTTTTGGTGTATAATGCATCCGGATTTCTGTTTAATCGATGTTCCCAAAGAAAACCTCAAGGGGATGGATCCGATGAATGTCAGAAACAGCCGCGCGCACAGCCCCTGTCCTGAGCTTGGCACGGCGAGCATGAGGCGAGCATGAGGCAGTGAGGAGTCATTCAACGGCCTCGAATGTGCTCCTTTGAACATGATCAGAATGGAGTCCCTCATTCAAAACGAGACTGTGGGTGACCAGGTGATGTCAAGAAAAGGACCCCTGAATGGAGAGAGCACAGTCATTTAGCCGGTTTCTGGGCCACTCAGTCAGCCGCTTGACGTCAGCGGTTGCTGCTCACCCACGAGTTTTCATGAATGCCCCACACACCATCGTTTTCCCCCCAACAGCTGGAAGCTATGGGGTCGATAGGCTCAAGCACGCTCTGTGGTTTGGGCCCGCATGCACCCATGAAACCCTGGTTGTAGAGGGTCAATGAGAAAAACCCCCCCCCCCCCCCACCACGGCACGCCCTGCAACCCTCCGGAAGGGCTCCGAATCACTCCGCTTGTTTGGACGAACCCAAAATAACTCAGTTGCTGGGGAATATTTGGAGGTGATGCCTCTTCAATGCACGTGCCATGTCTACACGGGGGTTGAGTTTGTGTTTCTTTGAGTCCTTGCGGAGAACGAGCGAGAGAGAGAGAGAGAGAGAGTCAGATAGAGTGAGAGAGAGAGAGAGAGCAGGCAGCTTTATATAGGATGGGACCATGTGTCGCTTCCATTGGGATGACTCGGCATGAGCACCATGCGTAGGAAACTCGGCATGTTTCTCCTTGACTCGGGTCCAGGAGTATCATTGGCTTTGCTAAACCTTCATCATGGGTGATGTCGCAAACCCCCCTAGTGATGAATCGCCCAGATATACAATAAACATGATCCCCACACATTGCAAAGAAGAGGGAAGCCTGAAAAAGGCGCCGTCACATTGCTGATGGCGTTTCCTGCCTGCGTAGCTCATTCATAGCTTCCAGGAAGCACAGAGCAACCGCACACAGAAACCAAAAGTAGCGAGTCTCACACATCATTCGCCCTTTGCACCTTGAAAGATGCTTTAGTTTGGTGAAGGTGCTGGGGTGATGGCGCCGGAATACAAGCACACACACAAGCCCAAACACAACAACGCTCACCCTTGTTGTATCATTTCAGCCTCCAGGCGGAGGTGTGACAAGCAGAGACTGGGGATGGAATGTTGTTGCGGTTTTCTCGCAGGCCACGGTTACGTTTGGCTCCCATTGCCACACCAGACAAGTTGGCAGGAATATGGCAATGGGTCAAAATTAGACCAGCAGGGGACCGCAGAGTTTAAGGCTTGGTTCCATTACCCAGGGCTCCCAAAATGGGGCCTTTTGATTCCCATTTGTGACCCACACCCATATATACCCGAGGTTTGCCTTCTCAGCTGCCCTCTTTCTTCCCCAGAGTTAGTTCCCTTCTTTTTTTCTGTTTTTTTTTGCTTTTTTGGGGTCTCCTTTGGTTTCCACTAACCAGGCAAAGATGATTTTTCGCGGTCCTAGTTCCAGCCAAGCTTTCAGGTATTCCCTGCCAAGGTTGCGCTTCCTCGATCGTCCCGATCCGAAGCTTGAGGAATTGTGATGGGTTGCTGGCGCCGGGGGATCTATGCGCCTGCCTGCAAGAGGTGGACGAGTCGGTGTCGAAGGAGCTGCTTCAAGAAATCTTTGTGCAGGCGAGGCTGTCCCCCAGCTAGGTGCCCTTCCTAGTAAAATCCCCAGCTAGGTGCCCTTTCTCGCCCCTTTTTGGGGGAGGGTTCCCCTAGTAAAATAGACAAGCCAGAAAACAAATAACGGTACCAACTTCTTCTAACCTCTCAAATCTGGAGGACTTCGGGCTTCACATCCAAAGCTCGCTAAGATTTGAAGGCGCGTTCCGTGTACATCTCCCTCCCCCTCAGCTCCTCCTAGCTCCTGAAAGGGTCTTTGTCCAAAGTCGCTCTCGGCTCACAGGTTCGCTTAGATGTTCGTGTTGGTTGAACCCAGGGACCCGTTCCATGGGAAAATTGGAAGGCAAATCATTTGCACGCCATATGGGGATTTTTCCTGAGACCGTGGTGTAGGGGGTGTCTTGGGCGTTCCTTTGCCTCCGGTCTGAGCACAAGACATGTTTGTAAGCCTCGGGGATCTTGGAGTCCGCAATCCTTGGTTTCACGGGCGCCTTTCGCCGCGTCCGGGTCCCCAAAGTGCGCGGACCTGGCGGACATCTAAGGGTACCCGATCGATTTTTTCTGGTTTGTCGATTTTAGTAGTGGAGCCCATTCTATTTTAGTAGTACTTTGGTTCTAGGGGAACCATTTCCATTTCCATTCTGAACCCAGGGATCCGATTTTTTTTCAGGAAACCAACAACAACCCAGGTTGGAAACAGCCGGTTCTTGAAAAGAAGGAGGGTTAGAACAATACTTGTTCTTTCTATTTTTTTCGCTCGCTCTGGCTTCCATTACAAGCCCTAAGGAAGTAGTTGTGACATGGGTGCCCGGGTTCAAAGTAAGCTTCGGAGTCCTGTCTCTCAATCGCCAAATCGGCCTTGCAACTTCTGGGTTGGCACTGGATAGGCTGGAGCTGAAAGGCTGTGGGATCCATGGGCCCAATTCGGCGGAGTTGTTATGCACGAAGCGTCTTGAAAAAATGTATCTTGAAAAAATGTATCTTGTTATTCCTTGAGGGAAATTGGAATGCATCTTGAAAAAATGTGAACGTCAGGCATCAAGGAGCTTGATGGATGTGCATCTGGGTGTGTGCTTCTTTTTGAGGCTCATCACCCTTTTTGGTTTGGTTTTAAAGGAGAACCAAAAGGAACACCGAGGTTAAAGGAACACCGAGAAACCTGAAAAAACGACCGGCCCGCGTCTTGAAGCTTCGTAAGCACAACACCTCCCCAGGTCGACAGCGATGGAGTGGGGGCCATTGAGCTGAGCGTCTTCAACGCCTTGATGCTCCAGGAGCAAAGCAAGGGTTTTTGTTGGGAAACATTGGAAACAAATTTGCTTATTGGGGTTTGGTGGTTGAAGTCCAACCACTTAAGTGCTAAAAGATGAGAATTATTGCTCCCCTTCCAACGTCAGATTCTCCGTGTCCGGGCCTGAAATGTCCAAGCGTCCAGATGGGCGGCTCGCCTTTTCGAGGCGTTGGTACCCCCTTCTGGTTGGTTTTCAGGGGTCACGTTTTGTGGGTGAGTTCCCTTGGAATGTGAAGCCCAAATTAAAGCCGTGAGAACAGGAGCAATTTTGTTAGCCTTGAAACATGACAGGAAGAAGCAACTCAATCGATAACAACGTGGTCCAAACCGAACTCAAAGTCTTGCACTACGGTGCGAAATCGGCGTAGTTTCGCCACCGAAAGCGCAACAGGCCCAATGAGAGCTTAGCAGTGAGCCCAGCAACCCGCCAATTTGTGGCGGGATGGACCTTTGCCGGCGAGAGGGTTTGTCCCAATAAAGGTGAACCTGAAAATGAGTGTTGCCTTTTCCAAAAACGGTACCATCAAAAGAACAGAGGGAGGGAGGAAGAGAGAAACATATGTTTGCCTAGAGTGGACTCATTTGAACCGATGGTGATACACTGTTTCAGATGTTGCGACAGGCTGACAGGGATCACCAATTCTGAGCACCAGATTCATCGCCCTGTCCTTCAGCTTAGCTCAGCCATGGTCTCAAGTGCCATCTTGTAAATTTATGTCGATCTAACCCCCCAGGCGGAACCCAAGAATCCAAGACTGAGTATGTGACAGCCGGAAAAGATGTGGAGTGCGACTTAGGTTCAGGATTTGCTCATGTGCCCCAAAAATCGAATTGGGGAGGATCATGGAAGTCCCCATGTCTAGTGTCCAGTTTGTATCACTTGGGAAGAAAAAAAGCTCTGGTCGGCACGTCTTTGACCTTGGGGATCCCATAAGATGAGCCACATGCCGCATGCCCCAGCTTTCGGGCAGACAGTTCACGCCGTCGGCATCTTGAGCGAGTTGGTGAAACGAATGCGCACTTCCGCGCAGGAGGAGCGTGCTACAAGCAAGAAGGCCACACAGGCAGGGCAACTCGTTCATTCGATTCAGGGCTTACAGAATAAAGGTTCCGTGGAAGCTGATTTCAATCAGGAATGGGCCAATGTTATGCCTGGGTTGGAGATGTTGACACTGTGTAGGCATGTAGGGTGTCAGGGTGAACCATCATACCAGAGATCCTTGAAACAGACGAACACGATGTTTTTCCAATTGTCACCTCAGCTTCCGTCTACTTGGTCGTTGGAACTGATACGTCGGAGGTTTGGAGTGGGGGGGAGCCAAGGAGCCAGGGGTGCCTTTAAAGCGAAAGCTAAGGAGCTAGCAGGAGTTCTGCAAGCCGTAGTTACCCTCTAAAAGAACCAGGGGTTCAGACCCAAATCCAAACCAATTCAATTTGCCCTTCCGCCCTTTTCACATGAAGCCGTTCCACATTCGGGAAGAAAGGGGGGGGGGGGAGTGGGTCTCAGTGTGGACCAGTTTCCTTTTAAAGGGACCGGGGTGACCGGGTCCCTGTCGGGAGGGCCTTTTGGGGAGTCCGTCCACCAAACGATCCCCATGTCACCAAAAGGCGCCCACCAAAAGGTGCCCACCAAAAGATGATGTCCACCAGAAGGTCCCCATGAAAAATGGCATATCCAAGTGGAGCTGTTTTACCCTTAGAAAATCAGGCGGCTTTTCGCGTGGTGGACCGCGACATGAACGGCAAGATCTCCTTGGAGGATTTGAGGCGCATCTTTCCCGACGTCGATGAGCAAGAGGCGATAGATATGATCGCGGCCGCGGATCTGGATGGAGATGCCCAGCGAAACAAGCAAGAAGGGTGGAATATTGTGGATGGACGAAATCCATTTCGCACCACTTTCAAAGCATGGTTGAAGCCATTGTTGGCTGAGGTATTTGCAAGGGGATCAAGTCATTCCCGGGTTTCTTCGGTGGTGCGAGAAGCGGATTTCGTCCACAGTAGTTCTTTCTGCCCATGTCTTCCGGGGTCCTTGGCATGACTTGAGTGAGGCTCACCGTTTGGACGGTGACCGCAGCTTTGGCGGCGTGCGTTCAATTCCACCAAGTGGGGGTTGCGGGGATGCCCTGTTCTTGCGCCGCAGCCACGTAGACACACACTTGTGACATAAGACACAAACAAAAGGAAATGCAGATACAGACACATATATAGACACACACACAAGCACAGAAACACAGACAGACGGACAGACAGACAGACAGACAGAGAGAGACAGAGAGAGACAGACAGAAGACAGACATACAGACAGACGGACGGACAGACAGACAGACGGACGGACAGAAACAGGCAGGCAGACAGATTGACAAAGAGACAAAGACAGAGACAGAGTCAGAGACAGAGACAAAGGCAGAGGCAGAGACAGAAACAGACAGGAGAAACAGACACAGTCAGCCAGACGGACAGACAAGCAGGCAGGCAAGCAGGCAGGCAGGCAGGCAGGCAGGCAGGCAGGCAGATAGGCGGCAAGACACTGACAAACAAATTAGCAAGCAAACAGAGAACAGCAAGCCAGCAAGCAAGCAAGCAGGCAGGCAAGCAGGCAAGCAGGCAAGCAGGAAAGCAGGAAAGCAGGCAAGCAGGAAAGCAGGAAAGCAGGCAAGCAGGCAAGCACACAGACCGGCAGGCGCACAGATAGACAAGCAAGCAATCAAGCAAACAAACAAGCACACGAACACAAAGGACACCATGAGAATGCAAAAATAGTTTCACGAAGCAAACATAGCAAGCAAACTAAACCAGCAAGCAAGCAATCAAGCGAATTTCTTCGCAAACGTGCGTCAACAAGCAAGCGCACAAAAAACACACACACACACAAACACACACACACACACACAAACACACACACACACACACACACACCCACCCACCCACCCACCCACCCACCCACCCACCCACGCACGCACGCACGCACGCACGCACGCACGCACGCACGCACGCACCCACCGCACGCACGCACGCACGCACGCACGCAACGCACGCGCACGCACACGCACGCACCCACGCACGCACACGCACACGCACACGCGCACGCACACGCACACGCGCGCACACGCGCGCACACGCGCACACACGCGCACGCACACACACACACACGCACACACCCGCACACACACACACGCACACACCCGCACACACCCGCACACACACACGCACACACCCGCACACACCCGCACACACCCGCACACACACACACCCGCACACACCCGCACACACCCGCACACACCCGCACACCCGCACACACCCGCACACACCCGCACACACCCGCACACACCCGCACACACCCGCACACACCCGCACACACCCGCACACACCCGCACACACCCGCACACACCCGCACACACCCGCACACACACCCGCACACACCCGCACACACCCGCACACACCCGCACACACCCGCACACACCCGCACACACCCGCACACACCCGCACACACCCGCACACACCCGCACACACCCGCACACACCCGCACACACCCGCACACACCCGCACACACACACGCCGCACACACACACACACCCGCACACACCCGCACACACCCGCACACACACCGCACACACCCGCACACACCCACACACCCGCACACACCCGCACACACCCGCACACCCGCACACACCGCACACACACACCCGCACACACCCGCACCACGCACCACACACCACGCACACACACACACACACACACACACACACACACACACACACACACACACACACACACACACACACACACACACACACACACACACACACACACACACACACACACGCACACACACGCACACACACACACACACACACACACACACACACACACACACACACACACACACACACACACACACACACACACACACACACACACACACACACACACACACACACACACACACACACACACACACACACACACACACACACACACACGCGCACACACACACACACTCACACACACACACACACACACACACACACACACACACACACGCACACACACACACACGCACACACACGCACACACACGCACCACACACGCACCACGCACACACGCACACACGCACACCAAAAAAAGACATAAAAACAACAAAAGCAAAAACAAGTAAGCAAACATATGCCAGTAGATTCAGCGAAGCTGGTGGGCGGAAGGGTCAAAGGATAAAAGCTACATGTTTGTTCTTTGTTCATGTTCCGCTTTTGTTTTGTCTTCTTCTCTCTTACCTTCGTTCTGTTCATTGTTTCTTCCATGTATTGATTTACCTATGTTTCCTTGTTGTTGTTTGTTTCTCTCTCTCTCTATTTTTCTTTTGTCATTTCTTGATTTATCTATGTTATTGTTTTGTTTATGTCTTAGTTATTTCTTTATTTATTTCTTTCTTTCTTGATTTATTTATTTCTTTCTTTAGTTCTTTCTTTATTTCTTTCTTTATTTCTTTCTTTATTTCTTTCTTTCTTTATTTCTTTCTTTCTTTCTTTCTTTCTTTCTTTCTTTCTTTCTTTCTTTCTTTCTTTACTTCTTTCTTTGCTTCTTTCTTTACTTCCTTCTTTCTTTCTGTCTGTCTTTCTTTCTTTCCTTCTTGTCTTTCTTGTCTTACTTTCTTACTTTATTTCTTTCTTTCTTGTTTTCTTTCTTCTGAATTTCGCTCTTTCTTTCAATTGCATATCGGCCTCATTGTACTTGCATGTGTCGTTCCAGCCAAGGTATTCATCCATCTATCTATCTATGTATTTGTCTGTCTATCTATCTATCTATCTATCTAGCTTTCTCTTTTTGCTTTAGTTTGTTTTTTTGTTTCCGCCAGTTATCTACCAATCTGTCTAGCTGTCTCTAACTATTTGCCTATCTATCTATCCAGCTATCTGTCTATCTATCTATCCATCTATCTATCTATCTGTAATCTATCTAGTCTAACCTAATCTAATCTAATGTACCTACGTATCCTATTTTTCTTTATCTTTTCCTCTGCATTTGTGATCTATCTACATACCTACAGAACTATAAATGTATATTCCACCTGTCTATCTAACCTACCTACCTACCTACCTACCTACCTACCTACCTACCTACCTACCTACCTACCTACCTACCTACCTACCTACCTACCTACCTACCTACCTACCTACCATCTTTTTATCTAATTGGCCGTCGGCCTGCAACGGAATCTGCACCTGACCTTGCAAAAGTGCAGCGCCTGCCACGGAATCTGCACCTGACGTTGCGAAAGTGCAGCGCCTGCCACGGAATCTGCACCTGACGTTGCGAAAGTGCAGCGCCTGCCACGGAATCTACACCTGACCTTGCGAAAGTGCAGCGCCTGCCACGGAATCTGCACCTGACCTTGAGAAAGTGCTGCGCCTGCCATCAAATCTGTACACGATCCATTGAGAGTGCTAGGCCTGCCCGCAATCTGTACTGACGTGCCTGCCACGAAATCTGCACTTGACGCCTGCCACGCAAAACTAATGTTGCTAAAAGTGTTCGCGCCCCTGCCAATGTGCTCCGGGCCGAACGCGCTCCGAGGCTGGTCCGAACGCGCGACGAGGCGTAGATCAGGTTAACTTTCGCGCATCCCAAAGCACAGGCGCACAAGCAGACCAGCAACCAGACACAGACACATACGCACACAGGATATCAGCGCTGATTATAGGGGTGTAGCAATGTCACAACCATGCCGGCGACGTGTATTCCCGAGAGCCGCACGCCAGACTTGTTGTTCCGCTTGCGCAGGCAGCGTATAATTCCAAGATGCTTAACTTTGTTCTTTTTGGAGGCTATCCTTTTTGAATGTTTTAAAGAGAAGCCAAAAGGAAACAAAAGCCCTTAAGAGGTAAACCCATTTGCATGCATACCATAGTTCAGTTTCAGGTAGCCATAAACGAGCTTTGCCTGCGATTTTGTCTATACGATCTGAGGGACTAGTCTTTAGATGTATACTGATTCAGGAGGGCCATTGCAGCCGAATTCAAAGTGACTAGGTGGGTTACTAGGGGCCAGTAAGCACGTGACCTGTCCATTGCTCTTGCTGTGGCTCTGCACCATTGGAGTTCGATTTTTGTTGGGTGTGTCTTTTTGTTTCCTGTCTGAGGGTGCCCCCTTCTTTTTTGTTGGTTTCCGAGGACACCAAAAGGAAGCCCACCATTTTGTGTGGTCCCATAAAAATGGGATGCCCGTGTGTGACGGCACCTGGTGGAACTCCTCTTCCTCAGGATGGCAGCATCGACCTGGCGGAGTTCCGCGCCATGATCCAGCAGTATTTCAAGCAGCCCCCCAGCCGCTGCTGGCAGCCAGTCCGTGGCAAGCAGAATCCAGCTGTGAATGTGGCCCATTTTGCGCATTCCGTGTTTAGTTGCTTATTCGTAGGTCTCCTTTTTAGGTTGGTTTGGTTACAAATGGATGGCACCAGTTTGGATTGGATTGATTATGCCTATCTTAGCAAAAGGCCACCTATGTCCCTTGAATTCTGTTTCAGGTATCTGCCTGCCTCATATTTTCCTTCACGTATGACGTATTTCAATTGGCAGTGTTTCGGGGGTGTTTCGTTGAGTTCTTTCCTGTAGTTTTCCCGATCATCGCAAAAACACGGGGGGCACAGGAACGACGCGCTGCTCAAGGCAAAGACCAACGCGATGGTACCCCGAATCTTCCGAACGGTGGACGACGACACTGACACACACTCGAGCTGCGCCCAGTCCAGTGTGACCCTTGCCGGAGTGGCCTTTGTTTCCGAAGACGACAGGGTTCCCACATTTCCCGCTTTGGCAGCTTTTCCCAGAAGGTGCAAGTACCTCCTGAGGATGGCTTTTGGGGGGGCAAACAGGGGTCTAAGTGTTTGCTTAGAAGGTACTTGGACCCTCTGGGTTTGGCAATTCGAAACATCTCCAATTTGTGGGCTACTTTAGATTGAGCTTCCTTTCCAGCGGTGATGTTTAAAGGAGAAATATATAGGGGACCTCTGCGTTTGTGGGTGACCGTGAGGTTTGTGTCAGTTTGTGCCATGGCTGGCTTAGATTGTTAGGCAACAGAAGGCGCAGCTGTCAATGTGGTCTTCCGGGTTTTCCAGCACCAATATTCGAACATGGCCCCCGTCTAAAAAAGATGCAGCCGCATAGCCAAGGATTGACGACATCTTCAGCGACAGCGACAGCGACAGCGAGGGTGACAGCGATACCCTCAGAAGCTTTGTGGAGCAAGCAAAGCCGGCTCGCGACCCCGGCGGCCACGCGCGTCTGGTCAGGAAGATTGCGGACATCTCGACAGGTTCCGAACACCAAAAGGGAACGGGTTGCGAAAGGACCCCCTACAATTCGCTGGGTCACTTGAACGACTGCGGTTGGAGGTGTGTCTTGGTTGAAGGACTCTTCCATCTTGTGCTGTTGCGGCAAGATAGGTGTCCTTTCCGGATGAGTCGGCTTTCTGTTTGAAACCTGCTTATGCAGTCAGGTCGTATTCCGCGTGTTTCCCATTGAAACGGTAATCGTTCGAGTTCGTTTTTCGCAGGTTGCATGGAAGCTGTGGACTCGCGTTGCATGGAAGCCGTGGACTCGCCGAAGCCACCATGCAGCAAAGAGGCGCCACGGGTACCGCGCAGGCAGCACAAGGAGGCGTTCATGCAAGGCCGCTCCATCATTTCCCTTTAGGGGAGCAAAACTCCCGGGCGCCAGGTGGTCTGTGGATGTCACAGAAAGGAAGTCGGGTGTCGCATTCTTTTTTGTTTGCATGTACGATCACCATCGTTACTTTCATAATGGCTCCCGCAAGTTGCACGTGCCTGACCCAGGCTGTTGTGCAAATTGTTCTTCCAAGGATGTCACGGCTTGAAATTTGCCATGTCTACATGCGGTGTCGTTGCTCTAGCCTGCATATCGTAACTTAATCGACGGGCAGGCTGTTTTGCTAGCTGTGTATGTTGCAACTGGATCGTCTGAAGGGAAGGCTGCAGGTGTACAATTGAATTATGGCAATGCAAACAGATACCAGTCTCACGCCGTGATGTCTTCGCAGACTCGTCATGCTTTAGCCCCAGGCTGGACATATTAGATCCACAGACTGCTGGGTAACCGGAATTCAGCTAAATCCTGGCCTATCCTGGCCTTGGTTTGATGCCACTTGGTTGGAACAAGACGATTTATCAAACTTGGCTGCTGGTCAAAGAATGGCTGCGGCCTGTGCCAACTCTTCTTGACTGCTATTGGGTTGGATCTTTAGACTTTGGGAAATCAAGCAGGTTTCCACTAAACCCCCCAAAAGTAAAACTTTTTGCAGGAGCGACCAAGTCTTGGAATCCCATCTCGAAGTTCCGAAGTGGCCGATTCCAATCTGGCCAACAGCCAAAGTCCTTCCCTCGGGCAGGTTCGAAACTATCGGCGCAGTAATGTGCACAGAGAGCACCGCGACCGGTGGTGAACTTGTTTCCTGCTGCTTCCCTTGTTAGGGAGTTGGGCTAGGGGTTACGTATTGGCTCGGAGGTCAGCTCAGCAAGCACATACCTGGGGCAGACTTCGGATACATTTAGCACTTTGCCAGTAACTCAAAGGGAAGCAAACAATAGAATATAATAGAATATTCATTCTTTAACTGGGCCTTAGTCTAATCATGATACTTGTATACCATTGTTTGTCTCGGATTGTGAGCCAAGCTGGGCATGTGACCGCAAACAGCGAAAACATGACCAGAACTTCGTAATCCTTGGTCTGCACAGATCTGCAGCGTTCCATTTTTGGAAGGCAGCGCTTCCACAGTTGCGAGGCACGGAGCGGCCACGGAAGCTCTTTGTCTCGCGAGCCCCATGCACCCGTTTCGCCAACCGTCAGGCCAATGTCCTCGGTTCGCAGCTGTGAAACCTGGCCAGGGGACTCCACCCCGCGCTGAAGCTGAAGTCTGAGCTATTGAGGTGTTTGACGAGACAGACTGCGTTTGGCGAGCAAGCCTTGGCAAGCGGAATGGATTTTGGATGTACCCTCCCTTCCACTAACATAGCAGTGGGAGGGTGCCTGGAAGATCAGCTTTCTCTTCAATGAACCTTCTGTCAGGCGCCATGGCAACGTAGTGAAGGTACAGCTTGAGTTTGGTTCAACCCCTCCCTGTTTGAGACTGCAGCTCTGCGAGGGAGTTGGAGTTGCGGCAGGGCCGATCCTGGGCATTCTCACGGCAGAGCATGGTGAAGTCCCGAGTTGAGGACGTGAACCGACCGATTTTTTGCACTCCGTGGAAAAAAAATCCTGGCAGCCAGCCCAAGTCCCCTACCCCAGGGAACCAAACCAGTAAAACCCGCTGAGAGTCCTTGCCTACGGGTGGATCCTGGATCTACTGGGCAGGGTTCGCCTGCACATTGCAAAATTTAGGGTAACCACCGTACTGCGGAAGCAGTGCGTTTTCGGCGCGTCAGGGGCCAAGGTCGGGCCAGCCTCCCGCGTGCAGAATTTCTCTTGGGGGGAGGTGGGAACACCCTCGAATCCTGGCCCCTTGAAGGATAGATTGGGCCACTCAAACAATCACCCTCACGTGCTGGATTGAAATACCCAGACCAGAAAGGAAGCTTAGGCACTACTTGTGCCTATGGCTAGAAAAATGCGAATCCAGATTCAGGTTCACGCGTGCATTGCCAAAGCGTCCAAGTAGGGATTTGGATCCCAAAAATGGCCGTGTTTGTCGTGGTTTGGTTTCCCTTCAAACCAAGGTGAGCAGCAGGGTATTGATGGGTACTCTCAAATGCAAACACACACAGTTCTAGGGGTAACTTCCCCATTCTTTCCAGGGATCCATCCTTCTAGAAAACCACCAAAGATTCTGGGGAGATGGCGATCGGCTCTTGAAGAGAAGGATGGGCGAAAAGAATGGACAAGGAATCAACCCCTCGAAAAGTGGGAGTTGGGGCAAACCGGGGTCCTCCAGCCACCAAACCGTGTTTTTGTTTGGGACCCAGGGACATGTAAAGCGCCGAGGTTGGCGCACATCTACTTGGAGAAGTCCGATCTGGCGGGCGAGAATGGCCGTGCCGGCCCCGAGGGCCCCCGACGATCTGGCAAACAAACTTGGTGAAGAAGATTTTTGTTTTCTCCCACGGTGGGTTTTAATGGGAGTCTATATTGAAGCTTCCATTTGGTTAAGATGTTTTTTGTTTAAAAAAACATCCCCCGGTTGGTTTTAAACGCAATCGATTTCACTACTGTAAATATGTTTTTTTAATTGTTGTTCTCTCCGGGGGGCGCAAAAGCAAATAGAGGGAAGCATTCATGGGCCATTGTGGGTTCGGGGACCCGGCAGGCTTTTGTTTTTTTGTTGACGTCGCACGAAAACGGCCTGCCATTGTGAGATACTGATAAACCAACAGTGCAAGCATCCTCATGAATTCGCTCTGCACGATCGGTGTTCGACTTCAAAGATTCTAAGATCGATTCACACACTGGTCTTGCCTGCCCGCCGTCACCGACAAATGTCAAGTCTGTGCTTTCCTTCGCACCCGTAGCAATCTGACAGTCTCCCTGAGATAGTGCATCACTCGTTCCCCACAAACGCCACTTTACTGTTTCGTTCATAGGTCTCAAAACCGGGTGGGGTCGAAATCAGGGTCTCTCCTATTGGCGTTCTTCTTTACCCCTACCCAGCAAACCGACTGCTTTACCCCTACCCAGCAAACCCGAAAACTTGCAGAGGTCCACTCTTGTCTGGAACAGCTGCGGTTGGCGAGAAATACCTCATGTTTTTCAGTCAGGGGCTGACATACCCTGAAAAAGGTGGGGGGGGGGTATGCTTGTGTTTAAACGGTGCCCTGGACAGCAGATATGGGTTGCCCTCCTTTTTGGGTCTGGTCCGCTTGCTTAGCACACTTGCAAAAGGGCAAATGGCGAGCTTACGGATTCGGAACCAAAACAAACTCACCCATGCAGGGCAATTTTACTCGGAATTTCACTAGGGGTTACTCGGGCGAAACATCTGTGGCTCCAAAGAAATCAGCAGCATCTTGGGAGCCTGCCCGGCCTTCAGTCCTTGGCCCAGCAAATCCTTGAATCACGAATTTGCTGGTTGCATTGAACCCGAATTCGGTTTCCTGGCACGCAGCTGGCCGGGGCACTGCGATCGTCAGATTATCCCCAGCCCCTGAAAATGAAATTGGGGGGGGATTATGGTTCCATGTTCCCTTCATGACGAGATGAATTCGGGGACCGGGTCCCCACCCCCCTCCTAAAGGTAGGGAGGATGTCAGCCTGGCGCCGAGGCTACTTCTTGGACTTGGCCGCCCGCGCGTGCGCGGATGCGGTGGCTTCCGCCGGCAAGACCAGGACACACCAAGCGGCTCTCCCCGTGGACTTGACTGCTGGGTTGGATCTTTAGGCTTTAACTTTTTCGTGGACATCATTTGGCGTTTGAAAAACTCAACCCCAAACAGGTTTTACACTTTTTGCAGGGGGGTCAACAGCAACCGAGTGGAATCCATCCTTTTGCTCTTGAATGGGGCCGAAGCTTCCGTTCATTTCCAGGACGTGTTCCTCGAAAAAACAAAACGGTTTCCGGGACCAGCGTGACAAGAGTCGGCCGGGCCCAGCGGTTGTTTCGGCAGCCCGCCAACGGCGAGACCGGTCCAACGGCCTCGGATTTGGTGATTTTCCATTCGAACAGCGGCGGTCGAATCGACTGGAGGCTTGGGATGCATCTACGCGAAAACCAAATTCTGGGGTAAAACCAGCTCATCCAAGGTTCCAGAATCGGAGTCCTGTTTTGTCTGGGTTGTAGATGGTCTCTTTTACTTGGGTCCCTTAGTTCCGGCTTGCAAATGTCCGTTTAAAGAGAAAGGGCATCAGATGTTGTGAAGATGCTAGGCTTAACCTGACAGATGCTTGCAGAGAGGCTTGTTGGTCGATTCTGATCTTTGGGCTTGGCTGGCGGCATGGCCAGGATGGCGGCGAGACTGCCCACTTGTAGGAAGAATGCTAAACAGGGCACTCATCTAGGTCCCAGTGATGCCCTTTTCACTTCTTTTTTGGGGGGAGGGTTCCCCTTTTAAAATAGACTACAGACAAAAAGGGCACCCTTATTCTAACCTCTCTTCTGGAGGACCTAGTCATGCTGAGCTGACGGCACCACGTACGTGTGTCATCTAGGCTAAGACCAACTGAGGCGACACGGCAGATTGCACGAATGACATGATACGTCATGCAAGGACTGGTGTTTTCTGCTCTTGGAATTGTTGGCAGACTCTCTCTCTCTCTCTCTTTCTCTTTTGGAAGGTGCCAGATGTTAGATCGCAAGGGCTGCTTGGCTCCCAGCCATCCCCAGCCACAGCTAAGCTTTCGGCAGGGGATCGATCCGAGGGCCCAGGCGGTTTCTGTCTTTTTCAGCTCTGCGAGCAAAGTCCGTGGTGCTTGAGTCAGGGCTCCTTAAAAGGAATCTCCATTTTGCTTCACCATTTGAAACATGGCTGGCTTTTTCAACACCAAAATAAAGTTGGACACCACCATTTACAAGTTGCAATGTTCAGGTGTATACTGTAAGGATCCCTGTTGAGACTCATGCTTTTGGGCGCGCGCCAGGATGATGCGGACCTGGGGCCAGGCCGATGGGGGCTCCGGTGGAGCGAGTGGGCAGGAAGCTTCAGAAGCTCGGGTGCCCACATTCTAGGGGTACCTTCCATTTCCATTCT